GTTTTAGAGTCGGTTAACTGATATGAATCATTGAGTGACTGTTTAGTCACTAATGATTTTGAAGTTCCGGGAAGTACTAGAAAATATGTTTATCTTAGTAGTAATTTAAGTATTTGACGAACGAGATCAAAAAAGTACACGAATCATTAGGTAAATTAACTGTCATTACTTTGTAATAATATTCAATAATACTAAATCTATTCAGTCAGTTACAGCAATATGGGTAATCGCAACAATTAATCGGTTATAATCATCATAGAACCTGACACACGTTTTCATCGAATTAAGTTATAGCACTACATCAGCACAGCAATGGAAAGATACAAAGACAAATATTAGTATATTAAATGTTGTCAGATTAGTGGGAAACATTAGATACAGATAACATCATCTAAGATGAAAGAGTGAATTAGCGGAATAAAAAGTAAAACGATTAATTTTTAAACCCAAGATCTCGAGGAAGATAAAGTGAAAATGCATTCGGATTACCATAAATAATTCTGAACCATGTTGTGCAATGTCTTCAGATACTGATTATAATTATCACTCTTACTCCAACTTGACAGTCTTCAATTAACCTTACTAAATAGTTCCGTACGTGTAGAAATATTTACATGAACTCCCACACATAAGATCAAATAAAAAAAACTAATCACTGTCAATTACTGTGAGTAATATAGCTCTGAGCTAGCAGTTTGATTCTTTTCAGCTTCTTAAAAGTATAAAAACTAAGATTAAACAGATAAAGAGTAGGTCTTTACTATCAAACCATAACCTGACATCAATCTATAAAGTCACTGACTGTTAGATTGAGCCATGTATCTAGGTGAAGACTACCTAGTTAGGGACTTCAACATGATTGTTATGAGTGGTTGGAGTCATTAGATGATATGGCTCGGAATCAATCAGTTATTCTTAAACTAATTATACCTTTAATTCTACTAATTCATTCTTTCTTCTTGAATCATATTGTTCATATTCAATGTATTCCATGACAACTTATCTAACTACTACACTGAGTTTTGTCTTGATATATTCAACATACTGTACTGATGTAATGTGGAAAATTCAGCAGATACATACATATACGTCAGTGTCTACGTTACTTATGATTAACTTATATCAATTTTTGGTAGGAAATTCCAATTTGTTAATCTGTTGAATATCATTTATAAATGAAACTAATTCTACACAACTATATATATATATATATATATATATATATATATATATATATATACATGGGTGAGTTATGCAATTCTGTAATTGATCAATACATTGTAATGTTCATATTTCTATCTGCTTTTTATTTTAAATTTATCTAAATAAACATATGATTACTGATAAGGAAAACATTCACAATGTATTTAATATGTATATACATAGAGATAATACTTTATGAAATTGCCTACATTCTATTCTTCTCTCTTTCTCTCTCTATCTCTCTCTGTTCTATTCTACATTTTATATAATGCCTAGTTAGAACAAAGAATTCAGAAAAAAAAAGCATATCCAATGTAAATATACTTTTGTAACATTTGTATCTTTGTAAATTGTTAAATTAAATTTTGAAGCTTAGTATGTTCTAGTTTAAATTGCTTATCACAATACTTGTATGTATTAGTATAGGGTTATGGAGATTGTTAAGTTTAGATTCATACCATGAGTGGATCAATATTAGACCACCACTGAAAACCTGGAAGCACTGGAAAGCTGGTTCGTTCCAGTATGGAACTTTTTAGAAGTCCGCACACGGGACTCGAATCAAATACCTTCGATCTCGCGCGTGAACACTTATCCTCTAGACCAGTGAATCGGCATCCAACAGTGTTAATGTCTAACTTCAACCAATTAATGACATTGTGCGACTGTCCACTATTGTCTTCAGTGAGTAACTGCCTCATCGATATAAAATTGCTCACGTATACTTTCTTCTTAAAGTTTTTAAAAAAAATTCGTTCCAACTGGATTTTGATTATTTTTAGTATGATGATCGATACAAACGATTGCAACAAAACAGCTCCAAATAATTCCAAATGGTAGAATAATTTATGTATACATCTCTAATAATTATAGTTTTAAGGCTCTAGGATCTAGCTCAAATTTGATTGTTATTAGAATATACATGTTGCCAATCCCTGCATATAGTCATCCACTTAAAACACGTTGGCGAATAACGGAATGAAAGTAAATCAAATACAAGAATGAATTTTGAATAAATATATTTTGTACAAACATTGATCCAGACAGACAATCAAAGGAACGAAGTGAAACGAAATGATGGGCGGTGGAGAAGGCATATGAGCCAACTCAATTTAACCAAGAGTGAATCGATATATGTAGTCGAACAAAAATAAGTTACAGACATGTGATGACGAGGATAAGAAGTGCCCACACATATGCCCACATAAAAACAGTCAAGGTTGATAAGCAAATAATTAACAAGATCAAAATTTGACTCAAAGAGAATGAATAAACTGGTTTGTCCGAAAGTTTGAATAAGCTATGAAGGCTTGCATAGCACTCCAATGGCTGACAAAATACATAACTGACGATTAGGTTCGAGCTAGAAATTAAAACTTATTATCAACAATGTCAACGCCTGTGGCTCATTTAGGGCTACTACCGATCCCAATCCCACAAAAAGGAGGAGGGTTTGAGGTGAGGTTGGCAACCGCATTCCATAGAAAACAACCTTGGTAAAAAAAACGCCAACTAGATTAAAAAAATTAAACCATTTAAACTCTCCTTTCAGAAGTGAAGGGAGAATTGTGATGCCTCATGATGAAAGCCAAGATTCTTCGGAAGCCACGAGGTCAATGCCCCTTCTAACAACCAGTTTTTTATGCTTTTTTTACTTACGCCTGTTACTCTCGATGGAACGTAGGCTGTCGACCAGCATTCTCCAATCAACTCTGTCCTGGGCCTTCCTTTCTAGTTCTATCCAATTTTTGTTCATTCTTCTCATGTCTGTCTCCATTTCTCTGTGTAATGTGTTCTTTGGTGTTCCTCTTTTCCCTTGGCTTTGAGGATTCCATGTGAGGGTTCGCCTTGTAACACAGTTGAGTGCTTTCCTCAATGTGTGTCCTATCCACTTGCAACACTTCTTCCTGATTTCTTCCTCCACTGGAACCTAGTTTGTTATCTCCCATAGTAGGTTGTTGTTAATTGTAACTGACCAACGGATTTGAAGTATATTGGACAGACAGCAGTTGATACACACTTGTATCCTCAGGATGATGGGTTTCGTAGTTCTCCAAGTTTCCGCCCCATACAGTAGAACTGTTTTGACATTTGTATTGAAAATTCTGACCTTTGTGTTGGTTGACAGTTGTTTTGAGTTCCAGTTGTTCTTCAGTTGTAGATATGCTGGTCTTGTTTTGCCGATCCGCGCCTTCACGTCTAGATCAGATCCCTCTAACGACCAGAGCAACAATTTTTCTAGGTACATGAAACGTCCGGACAATGTGGAAGACCAGGAGGGGCAGTAAAATAGCAACGGAAATGAGAAGGTACAACTTGGCGGTTCTCCGAATCAGAGAAACCAACTGGAACCAGGCTGCACAGCGAAGGCTAGATATGGGAAAGATGCTGTTATACTCCGGTCATGAAGGGGAAAATGCTCCACTCACTCAAAGTTGCACGGATGCTGTCCAAACAAGCACGAAATGCTCTTATAGGATAGGAAACTCATGGATCCAGGACCATCAAAGCAGCATTCAAAACAAAGAAGGAGAGAATCATGATGAATGTTATCCAATATTATGCACCCACCAATGACAGCAACGACGACAATAAAGATCAGTTATATGAGAGGATGCAATCAATCATGGCGAAATGCCCAGGAAAAGACCTGACCAACCTGATGGGAGACCTAAACGCCAAAGTCGGAATAGACAACACCGGATATGAAGATATCATGGGACGACATGGATTGACTGGGAGAGAGAAACGAAAATGAAGATGGATTTGCAAATCTATGTGCATTCAACAAATTGGTCATAGGAGGCACAATATTTCCACACAAACGTATACACGAAGTTACATAGATCTCACCGGACCACACTACAGAGAACCAGATAGATCATATTTGCATCAATAAAAAGTTCCGAAGGACAATGGAAGATGTGAGGACTAGGAGAGGAGCTGACATAGCTTCAGATCATCACCTAGTTGTGGCCAATTTAAAACTGAAGCTAAAGAAGAACTGGACAACTGGACAAACAGCATTACAAAGGTTTAATATAACCCTCCGACATACTGACAAACTCAACGAATTTAAGATAACTCCCAACAACAGCTTACAAGCCCTACAAAACTTACTCAAAGAGGAAGAGGTTGCTGTGGAGGACAAATGGAAAGAGATCAAAGTAGCACTACCTTCAACGTGTCAGAAGATGCTGGGCCGCAATAAACATCATCATAAGGAATGGATCTCTATGGAAACCCTGGACAGTATTCAAGAAAGGAGGAACGAGAAAACAGCAATCAACAACAGCCGAACAAGAACAAAAAAATTCAAGGCACAAACTGAATTCACAGAGGCAAACAAGTAGGTGAAGATGAGCACTAGAGCTGACAAACGGAAATGCGTAGAAAAGCTAACAACGACAGTGGAAAGAGCTGCAACACATGGAGATACGAAACAACTATGTGACATGACAGTCGACAGCTTAGAACCAATTAGACGATTCGGACTTCACAGATGGCCTAACTTTTCTATCTCATACACACGAACAAACGCAGGTGAAGACAACCAATGTGGCAGAAGCTTCTGCAACAGTAGGCCTCAACACACAATATAAAACGCAAGATCCTTAAATACAACACAGGGAACACCAATCGATCAACTTGATGGAGGAACTCTGGAAGAGGTGGAAATTTTCACGTATCTAAGTAGCATCATCGACGTACGTAGAGGATCTGATGCAGACGTAGAGGCAAGGATTGCCGAAGCAAGGACAGCATTCATACAGTTGAAAAGCATATGTAACTCAAACTAAATGTCTTTCAACCAATATCAAAGTCAGAATCATCAGTATGAATGTCAGGACAGTTCTACTGTACGGAATTGAAACGTGGAGAACTAGTACAACGATAATCGAAAACGTACAAGTATTTATAAACAATTGTCTACACAAGATACTGAATGTCCGTCGACCGGATACCATGAGCAACAGACTACTATGGGAGAGAAAAAACCAGCTTCCAGCTGAAGAGGAATTTGGAAAAGACGATGGGGATGGACAGGGCGCACATTTTGGAAGTCAGAGTTGCGTGTAGAACACTGGTGGTCGTTTTATGCTCTTCCATGAGTGGTAAAAGGCGTAAGTAAGTAGTCAATCATGTCCTAAACTTCTCGCAACATTATGCTACTTTTCACTTATCATTTATGTACTATCAGAAAGATATATTAATTAAACACAGTATAATATCAAGTACAAACTACAGGTCACTGTAAATTAGTAATATAATGGAACTAAGTTCGACATTTAGTATAGACATCAACACCAACATACAAGTATATCGATTTGACAAGTTCTTAACTAAATAAAACGCATGTTTTAAATTTCAATTCTATTCAACATTTGAAATATCACATAAAAATTCTAAAATAAATATTAGACTAACATTTTTTTTAAATATTCAAATGAATGTTTCGATGATTTTAACGGGAAAATATAAAGAAAGAAAATAATAATAAGAGAACAGGCATGACAACTAATTTTGCCTTTCTAGCAAAAAAAAATCATGTTAAATTTGTGTTTGTTTCCCCCCCCCACCCGAAAAAAATAATTATTAATTGAAATGTAACCATAAAATGAAGAGAAATTTCAAGACAAGAAAATATTACATAATTATGTTTCATGTAAAACTATTGTACTAAATCAAATGATTAACATAAATGTATCTAGATTTTGAAATTTCCACCAATCATATTTGTACCTTGAATACATTAATCATTTGATTGGTCAATACAATAAATATATATATACCGTACATGTATTAGTTACCAATAGTTGTTTACATGTATAGATTTCTCGATAAGTAAAGTTTAGAAATTTCACTTTCTCTCTTTTCTTTTTCTTTTTTTTGTTGTTGTTGAGGAACTACAAAGTGTTGATTATGACCTTTCCATAAAGAGTATACAATTGGTAATTTACATGGAATTGAATATTCTTAAAAGATCTAAGGAATATTTATGAAATATATTTCATAATGCAAATAAAAACTGCATAACATTACAATGTCTGTGTATTTTTTTGTTTTGTTTAAATTTTCACAAAAACTTGATGTAAAATCATTTAGTATTATTAGAAGTAAGAATAACCGGATTGTAACATCTGAACTTGTTATTACCTAATATAAGCATTGCAATGATAAAGACAAAAAAGGTGCTGAATAGAAGATATGCCCCCCCAATGCCCTGGTACGGCTGAGAGTGGAGAGCATCCGCTCTCCCCCTCGAAATGCTCTCACATGGCCACGCGTATATAGCCTCTGCCAGGGAAGTTCTACTCACTGCCTTCTCGTGGCATTACTGTTGTTCACGAAAATAAGAGGACGGAAAGCGAATTTCCGGCGCTTTAACCGGATTCCAAATCAATGGTGCACATGGGCTCCAGTATCCTGTGGGAACAAATGGCGTATGAACCAATTCCTTGGTCACCAGATTCCATGGGACTGCATCTCCTCACGATGCTCCACTGCCTTGTGGGTTAGATCATTAGGTCAAAGGCTCCGGGTGTGGCCCACTAAGATAACCACCTGCTTCGGTTTGGGCACCCGGGCAGTATCACAGCCCTCACACAAATCGAATGATTTATGTGGCGCATATGTATTTGGTGCCTCCTTGTACCAATGTTTATGTGTTAAAATAAATAAATAAGAAATAAATTTAGTACAAAATAACTACTTCAAGCGACACTCCTGGAGTTCTAGTGAGAAGTCGTTACCAATGGAGTTCAACCAGGTCTGTTGTGAGATAGGAACTCACTGAAGACAATGGTGTACGGTAGCGCAAATTCGTGGACTGGTTGAAGTTAGACATTAACACCACTGGATGCCAGCTCAGTGGTCTAATGGTTAAGTGCTCGCGCACGAAACCAGTAGGTCCTGGGTTCGAATCCCGCGGGGTTCGGGATCGTGGATGCGCACTGCTGAGAGGTCCCATACCAGGGCGAAACGGGGTCCAGTGCTTCCAGGTTTTCCATGGTGGTTTGGCTTCAATTGACTCATGATTTCAACAACTGGAATTCGTAAACATCTAGGTAGTGTATAAACATATGATTTAATGCATAATTCAATAATGGTTCAGTCATAGTCATACTATTCATTTATTTAGATGATTTAAAAGTGAATACTTCATGTTCAAAATATATCCGTCGATGGAGCACTTTATTGATAATCTAAAATACAGATTATTCCAGCTTAATACAGGTATAATTATCCTTTCCATCTAAAAATTCTGAATTTTATACTAATTAGATTTATGTGTATATTATCAAGGAGTTCTGAATAAGAACCAGTGTGATCTATGATTCATAAGTGGTGCTCCAGTGGTTGTCAGTTCGTGATGAAGATTAACTTTAATTTGATCTAACACTTCCATTCTCAAAAATGAGTTTTAAAAAAAAAATATAATTGTATGCTTATCGACTAGTCATTCGTGACACATCAAATGAGATCTATAAAACTCAAGCGAGTCGATATATTTACTCAACAATTCGATAATATCTAGCTTTGATAAAAACTTGAGACTAAATGTCAATATTTCGTCAATCATTTCGGAATAAACATAAGCCAATAAAGAGTAATCAACTAAAATTCTTAACATCAACGACTGGAAAATACGAACTCATATGTAAAATCTAAACTTATTGCACAAGATAATGGTTATCTGAATTATGTAACCCAGTAAATAGAGCAATGACTTACGAAATGAAAATTGATATTCTTAGGATCAATGTGAATACCAATACATAGATGACAGTTTATCCCGCTAACTAGTCTCAAATAAGGTGAAATGCGATGTTTATATTCCATTGTTAGCTTTAATCCAACATTTTTTTATGTAAACAGTTATGAAATCTTATGTTTACACCACAAAAAATAAAGATTCATAGAGTATCACTCCAAGTCTACTTCACTTCTCAATTCAACAATAATACCCCTCAAGTGAAATAATCCATTAAACAACTTCAGTAACTTATTTATAACTGAATGAGATTTCTGTAAAATCATAGTCATACAGAGTACATTAAATTAAGCCAGATTTTACTATTTAGTGGATAAGAAATTACAGAAACACACTTGTGAATAAATCCACTACTTCTCAGGTCATTGTGTGTGAATGTTCATGTACATGTTCGCTAGGTGTACAAAAACTCCTTGGTTAAATTAATAAAGAAGAATGGATGATGAGGTTGTAGATACACACTGCTGAGGAGTCCCATACTAGGATAAAACACTAGTTCAGTGCTTCCTGATTTCCAATGGTTGTTTCACAAAGATCATTTAGAGATGTGAATAATAGAAAAAGTGATACATAGTAGCTTATACTTCTTCTACTTTTAATGACATGTGACAAATGAAAATATGACCAAAGATAAATTTGTCAATTAAAATTATCTTTTACTTTTAAGCATTCACCTTGTATACTCTTCAGTGGTTTTATAAACTCCACATCTATCAATAGCTTTTTTCATTTTATCTATATTCATTACTTTCACATGTTAATACTATTGAAATGATACAGCCGATGAATGAATCTTAATGATGATTTGCTAACCTATTCATATATGAGTGACAGTTTCATCAACAGTACTATGAATGAATGAATGAATGAATACCAATAAACCTGTTTTTTTAATCATAAATAGAGATAACACATCCATATATATATGTACGTAAAAATATGCAAATCATGGTATCAGTCAATTGAAAGCACCCAGAAAAATGACAGTAACGACAACATCTCACATCAGTTAATACATAGAATCGAAGCCGCTAACATTATCAATAATTTTAATAATATAAACAAGAATAAGTTGGTAAATATGTTCAATGTGAAAACTAAGACGGAAAACACAGATTAAAAATGAATATAAATATCTGCAATTTTGTTTAAAGTAACCATAGAACAAAGTACGATAATGAATTGAAGTTGATGTTCCATTATGTCTATATATATATATAGGAGTTTGACATAAAGTTTGTCTCTTATGTTCAATCATAACCATTATCACTCACCAGAATTTTACAAGCATAAGAAAATAGAAAAAAACAGGGATCATTTATGAAAGTGCTCTTCTGTTCTTTATCAAATAATTTGATGCGTATCGTCAAATAAGTTATTTTTGACTTAAAAGTTTGAAGAATAAACAACTTTTGTGCAGACAAATGTATATAAGAACAAGTATACAATACACTGATTCGTCTTTCCGTCTACTTATCAAATGAAGTGAACACAAACATTACGTTTAATAAGTTTATATATATACATACAGATAGATAAGCTAGATGCAGGCAAACAGTTAACTTACTCATCACAAATACATTGATATACTCTTATTTTCATAATAGAATAAACTTCAGATGTATTTGGAAAATAACCCTAGAAAGAAAGCTTCATGTCAATCTCTTTTCCTTTTTACTGTACAGATTGAATAGATGACGAACAAAATGATGGTGAGGCTAAGGTTATCAGCATGGTTTCAATGATTAATAAATGTACTGTATACAGTACTCTCATTTACCTTTCCGTCTATTTAATGGATGAGTACTTCATGCTGAAACGTTGTCTGAAGTTATCTTCACATATCTATTATGAACATGTCAGTGGAGCCTTTCCCCAGCATGTCGGATGGAAAACATAAATACAGTGGAAGAGTTAGAAATAAAATCTTGAGTAAGAATTACACCTTAACATATGGTGTCTACTCACTACATGAGCTAAAAAGAACAGAGAGTAATTGATATAACATCTCAAATGGTGCAGATAATTTAGGCATTTATGACCGTATCTTATGATATGAATGAAAATGTTTATAATAAAGTTATATCAATTAGGAGAACAAATTTTTAAAACTCAGTAGGCACTGGGACTATTTTTTTTGTTTCGTCTTAGACTACTGCACTGTGTGAATCTGGTATCATCACGTTTGACAAT